AGGAGAAGGGGGGATGAGCGTGAAAAGAGCAGGAAGGGAAGCAGGAGAAAGGAAGGGGAGGAGGCGGGGGAGGAGGAGGAGGAGGAGGAGGAGGAGGAGGAGGAGGAGGAGGAGGAACGAGGAGGAGGAGGAGAAGGAGGGGGAGGAGGGTGAAGAGGGCGAGGATCGAGGATCACCAACTGATGCCAGCTGGTGCCTGGCCACCTTCAAGCAGCAGCCCGGCTCCCGGCGCGGGCTCCGGGAACGAGCACGCCTACGCACAGGCGCCGCCGGGCCAACCGTTACCTCCCTCGCCCTGCCGCTCCCACCACAACGCTGCTCCTGCGCCCGGTCCTTCCCCGTCCACGTCCCTCATCCTGCCGCTTCCCCTTTCTCCTTCTGTTCGTCCTGCCTGCATATCGCAGCGCCTCAAGGCGATCCCACTCCACCGCGACGCCGCGCGGCACGCCTGGGCGCGTTGCGCGAAGCCGCTGGCACCGCTCGCACGCGAGGGTCACCGAAACAGGGCGATAATAATCCCCCGGGGATCATAAACTTCGGGGTTCTGGCGGGGATAATAAACGATTTTCCTGGGGAAGGTAAGTTGGGATGATGGTGATGGTGACGATGATGGTGTTGATGGTGATAAAAAGCGCAAGACTCACTCGAGAGATCTCGAGGCTCGTGACTAACCAGGCGCGCGGCACAAGGCTGACTCGAGAGATCCCGAAGCTCGTGGCTGTACAACTTGCCAGCAGGCGCTCAGCATCAAAAGCGCAGAGCATCAAAAACGATGAGGGAGTGCTCGTAGTATAACAGTGGACTCGCGTAGTAAGGATGCAAGGTCCTTGCAAGGCCCAGAGATGGGCCGAAGTGGCAAGAATGCAAGGGTATAGCAAGATTGTTCATCCCTACCACGCGGGTTGATTGTAATATTACGAATAGGAGCACGAACAGGAAGAGATGAATAATAATGGTGGGGGACGGAAGAGAGAATTGGATGGCCCCAGGATCGATTTTGATGTTTTTGATTCGGGGCCTTATGTCTTTTACGTGTTAAAACCTATTAGTTTTAATCGTGCTCAGGAACGCGTCGAGGGGTGTCCATGGTGGGGCCCCGCGGGGGATAACAAAAACCGGAGATAAAACAGTTCGGCCCCTGGGGGGGGGCGGGGCGGAAGAAAGAGGAAGAGAAAAGGAAGAGAAGCAAAAGGAGAAGAAGAAGGAAGAGCAAAGCATGTTCAAAGCTGTTGCTAGTCAGCACGAAGCGATAGCAACTTCGAGCGGAGACTCGGGGAAGCTTGGGCCTGGGAAGCTGCGGGGGCAGAGGAGGAGGAAGAGGAGGAGGAAAAGGAGGAGGAAGAGGAGGAGGAGGAAGGGCCACGAACCGTGTGAGGGGTGCGCTAGAAAAGTAACTCTCTCAACTAACTCCAATGCTCTGCCTGCTCGAAAAACGCATGCACAATCAACATCCTATCGGTCCCTATGGCCCTGCCACACGTTCCTGACTCGGGAACGGCTAAGAAAATGAGAATCCCATGGCCCTGCCGCACGTTCGTGACGCGGGCAAACTGAACTGGTGAGAATCCCACAGCCCCGCCACACGCTCGTGATTGCGGAAGCTGGTGTAGTGAGACCACCATGGCCATGCTCAGCGTTTTTGATGTTGCTAGTCAACATGATATGATAACAACTTCGATCCCCGCAACTTTCTCGTGGATTATAAAGTTCGGCCTCCGCGTCTTCCTCCACAATTGAATCCTGGCGGGGGGAATTTTATTATCGCCCGTCGGCGGTTACAGTCAACCCGCATGGTGAGGATGCGCGAGAAGGCCTCCAAAATACTAGTGTGCATGGTGAGGCATGCGTGCGAGACCGATAACAAGTTACAGTGCGGGCGCGGCCGCAAGAAACCCTCGCAAGACATCCATCCTTAAAAGCTCGAGCGCGAGGCAAGAAACCCAACCCTAAAATACCGCGCGCGAAGTGCACATGAGGAGAAACCTGGAGCACCCTGAACGCAACATCTTCTTCGACGGCTGTGAAAAATCACCGCGCAGCGCGCGGAGCGACGAAACCCAAGATACCCTGACGAACAACAGAAGATTTCTTGATGCGCGCCCCCACTGTATGCGAAACTCGGGGGCGCGCAAACATGGATTAGCGATCCATGGATTTGGCGCGCGGTCGCCAATTCCATGGATCGGGGAAGGTGCCATCCCCAAAATGCGGCCGGTGCAACCTCGCTCGGCGGCGGAAATCCGGGATTTCCCATGGAAACGGGACCCGTCGCTAATCCACGCCCCCTTTGATCCATGTTGGCGATCGCCTGAGAAACGGAAGGGAGGGGGAGGACGGAGAGGCATCCCTGTTGTTGGAGTCGTCGCGTTGTTGCTGTTGTTGTTGTTGTTATCCTTTTTTCTTCTTATTATTATTGTTATTATTCTTCTTATTATTATTGTTGATATTGTTTTGTGTGTGTGTGTCTGTGTGGGTGCGTGTGTGTGTGTGTGTGCGTGTGTGTGCGTGTGTGCGCGCGTGTGTGTGTGTGTGTGTGCGTGTGCTGTGTGTGTGTGTGTGCGTGTGTGCGTGCGTGCGTGCGTGTGCGTGTGCGTGTGCGTGTGTGTGTGTGTGTGTGTGTGCGTGTGTGTGTGTGTGTGTGTGTGTGTGTGCGAAGGTGTGCGTGTGTGTGTGTGTGTGTGCGTGTGTGTAACGGAAGGGATGGGAGAAGAAGGCGAGGGGGGCACCGCACCGTGCACCGACGCGTGAGCACGGTGGGTAAGGGATACGCGGCAGGGCGGCTGGGGGCACTCCAGCGAAACGCCGCCGTCGCCGGGGGCATGTTCGAAGCAGCATCTCTTCGGGGATGGGCAGAAATCCCCTTTACCAAAACATGGCTTAATGCAATCGACCTCGGGCCCAGACCTTGCGGGCGCAAGCCTAGAAAATCATGGCCGCGGCGCCCTCTCGAGAGCCGAAGACGGAAAACTCACTAATCGACGTGTCAGGGTGGGGGTTCTGTCCCCCCCCATCTTTACAGAGCGAAAAAACTCCCCCCATAATATTCGCTCCGACACGCGAAGTCGTTTAGTAAACGCACCCGAAGAGGAAATCAAACGGGGCAAGGCTGTTTGGCAAACGCCCGGGGTCGTCTGGCAAACGCCAATCGTCGGGTCCGGGTCGATGTTCCTCCCTTGCGTCTTGCCCCCCACGTGGACCCCGGCGCAGCCTCGTCTGCGGCGCTGACGGCGTGGCATCGTGCGTGTGTGCCCTGCGCGCGCGGCCGGAGGCCTGCCATCGCTCGGAAGTCCATTCCCTCTGTTTTTGTTCGGTTTCGAGCGCTTTTGTTCGCCAAATGGTCAAGGATGCTCCTCGATGGTCCTCGCCGAAGGAAAAGTGCACACGTCCGAACGATGCCAAGGAGGAGGGCGTCAGCAAACAGCTCCGCGGTTGGGAGCGAGGGTTCCTCCTGGCAGCGTCGTGGCTCACAGCGCGCCGTCCCCGCGGGCGCTCCGCGCGCGCTCCGCGGGTCCCCCTTGGCAGTAGGCAGCCAGGTCCACATCTGAGGTGCGGCACCGCTGGCTCGCCATCGCTCGGACGTCCATTCCCTGTGTTTTTTTCCGTTTCGTGCGTGGTTTTTTCGCCAAATGATCAAGGATGCTCCTCGATGGTCCTCGCCGAAGGAAAAATGCACAGGTCCGAGCGATGCCAAGCTGGTGGGGGCAGCCCCTGGGTCGCGTACTCCTCGTACGCAGTGGCAGGGCTCACGGGGTGCAGGAGATCGATGCAGCATTTTACCCCGCCGGTCGTGCGAGGCTGGTTGCGCAGAGTCTGCATACTGTCCAGCTCATGATTGCCGTGGCTCATGTAATGAATCTTCACGCGGTTGAGGTCGTTTTCGAGGCATTCGGTGCGTTCACCATGAAGGTACAGATTTGCCACGAAAGCCGGTTTGAGTGTTTGAGCAACGCGATTGTGGGGGTAGCAATGAGTGATGTCGAGAATCACGAATCCCTCGTTGTCCGGGTCGGACGGCAAGTAGTACGGGAAATGAACTGAAGTAAGCCACATGTGCCTCTCAGCCATCACGTAACTCCTGATAGGCATCCAGCAATCGCGTGGTGGTGGTTCTGATACTTCTTGGCCTTGGTGAGGCTCCTCAAGACCGTCGTCTGGATGGAAGCCTGCTGGGTTCGTACCGCATTCGGTGTTGTAGATGTGTATGCTCAAGTCTTTCATGTACTGGAAGCTGCGTGTGCAGGCCACGTTGATGTCCATAACATTGTACGTCTTGCAGTTTTCCGATTCTTTAATCTTGCACGCACAACGCGTGTATCCAACGGCTGTGTTAGTCTAAACGTTGTAGCCTTCTATGCATGCCTCAGCGTAGGAAGGCGAGTGGTCTGGTCTGTACAATAGACTTCTGCATCGAAGTGGTAAGCTTGCATCCAAGTTCCACTGGTATGTGGCCGTCGTGGTAGTCGATTGTGGCGTGGTCGCGTGGCCGCGCTCAGTCCTTCGTAAGCGTGTAGCCTGGTTGGTTCGAGCCAGTCGCTGCCGAAATGGTAGAGATGATGTTGTGTATAGCCGACGGCCCCCGTTCCTTGTAGCAGTACAGCAGGTAGGACATAGGCGATGTGTCTCCTCCTCCTCTTTCTCGTTCTCTCTTCTGTCTCCGCCTTCTCCTCCCCCCTCGTCCTCCTCCACATCTGCTCCTCCTCCTCCTCCTCCTCCTCCTCCTCGTCCTCCTCGTGAACATCATCATCATCATCATCATCATCATCATCATCATCATCATCATCATCATCATCATCATCATCATCATCATCATCATCATCATCATCATCATCATCATCATCATCTTCACCATCATCATCATGCACCGCCAGAGACGACGACGACGACGACGACGACGACGACGACGACGACGACGACGACGACGACCATTCGGCGGCGACTGTCGGCGAGATCCGCCGATGGTGGCCGCGGGCGACCGGCCGGCGACGGCCCCGCGGTGCGGCGGGAGTCTCCCGCCCGGCACGCGGCGTGCAGCGGCGTCGTCTTCGCGGCGCTGCCGAGCGCCGACGCGCCGGCGACCGCCGCGCCGCCCCGCGCCAGGAGCCGCTCGACCTCCGCCCGGACCGCCGCCGCCGCCGTCGGGTGTCGTCGGTCGTCGATCGTCGGTCGTCGGTCGTCGGCGTCGGCGTCGACGTCGGCGGCGGTGTCGTCGTCTTCATCGTCGTCGTCGTCGTCGTCGCCGCCGCCGCCGTCGCCGTCGCCGCCGTCGCCATTGCTGCCGCCGCCGCCGCCGTCGACGCCGCCGCCGCCGTCGACATTGTCGCCGCCGCCGCCGCCGCCGCCGCGACGACGACGACGACGACGCCGCCGCCGCGCCGCCGCCGCCGTCGTCGTCGGCGGCGGCGGCGGCGGCGGAGGCGGCGGTCGGCGGCAGCGTCGGCGTGGGCGGCCGTCGTCGGCATCGTGGGTGTGGGCGGCGGGCGTCGTCGCAGGAGCGGGGCGGGGAGGCGAGGAGGGGGCAGGGGGAGGACGAGTGGGAGAAGGAGGAAGGGAGATCGAGGAGCACGGGAGACAGACGGACCCTCCAACCAGCACCTCCCGCAAATGCCGCGCGAAAGGTGCCGCTGCGATACTGCGGCGGCGGCCGCTGCGGCCGCCGCTGCGGCCCTGACGGTGGCTGCCGCTGCGGCCGCGGCGGCGGCTGCGGCAGCGCGGCACCTGCCGCGCGGAAGGTGCGGCAGGTGCAGATCGAGGCGAGGAGGGGAGGCCTCGCCTCGCCTCCACACCGGCCTGCACTGTGAGCCCTCCGCTCAGAGCCGGCTGGGCACCCGACCCACCTCGCTGGTGACCCCCCAGACGCAACCGCCCATGAGGTCCCACGTCTCGAGAAAACTGCAACGTCCTGACAGATCACGATTGGAACCCTGGACCCCATCCGTCCTCGCCGCCGGCACCTCAGGGCATCGCGAACAGTCAGGTTTGTGGCGCTTCTTGTCCTTCGAGTGTCGTCGACCCCCCCAGCCAATCCCCCATAGTGGCTTTCGGGCCATACAACTTGGGCCCCCGGTGGCCGCTCAAAGGACGCACTCCGGCCACCCCCGCAGGAAACGCCCTCGACGCTTCGCAGCTGCCCGAGCGCGCCCCGAGGCTGGGAAACACCGCCGAGAACCAACGAAAACGCTCGAAAACCTCGAACATTGACCCCGTCGCCCCCCCTGTCCCAGGAGGAGGAGGAGGAGGAGGAGGAGGAGGAGGAGGAGGAGGAGCAGTGTAAACCCAAGAGTCATCAACGATGTTGGAATGAACCCTCCCTCCAAGCTCCCTCTTTGCAGGCCCCTACAACGGTTCATTTCCATTGAGGGAACTGCTTCGTTGGAAGACAACAGTTTGAAGATCCTGAAACGTGCCAAAAAATTGCTCTCGGGATTTCAACGCCACGTATCTACCTGACTGCTGCGTCTTGACGATCCAGAATCGTGCCATAACGCCGCTTTTGGGATTAAAACACTGCGAATCAACATAATTGTTGCGCCCACATAATCGCGAAGTCTTCCAAAACGCAATTTCTGGTACGTTGATCATTGGACTCCGTGAAACTCCTGCAAATGTGCGAGAGCCACATTTTGAAAAGAAACCGCCCTCAATCCGTGAAGCTCTTGCGGCTGTTTTAAACGAATAAGCGCGGCGCGTAGGCGAGAGCCACATTTCGAAAACGACCCGCCCTCAATCCGTGAACTCCTGCGAATGTTTAAAACGAATGTGCGCGGCGCTAAGGCGAGAACCACATTTTGAAAAGGAACCGCCCTCAATCCGTGAAACTCGTGCAAATGTTTAAAACGAATGTGCGCGGCGCGTAGGCGAGAGCCAAATTTCGAAAACGACCCGCCCTCAATCCGTGAAGCTCTTGCGACTGTTTAAAACGAATGTGCGCGGCGCTAAGGCGAGAGCCACATTTTGAAAACCACCCGCCCTCAATCAGCGAAACTCTTGCAATATTTGAATAGCGAATGTGCGCGGCGCTAAGGCGAGAGCCACAATTTGAAAGCGACCCGCTCGCCATCTGTGAAACTGCTGCCAATTCTTAAGCTTCAGAGTCATAGGTGGTGAGGAAGTCTCAGGCGAAACGCCCAGCCTGCCCTCAAAATAGGCCTCGGGGTGCGACAGGGAGAAGCTATCTATAAGGAGAAGGAATGGCAGAGGAGGAGGAAGAGGAGGAGGAGGAGGAGGAGGAGCAGGAGGAGGAGGCGGAGGAGCAGGAGGAGGAGGCGGAGGAGGAGGAGGAGGAGGAGGAGGAGGAGGAGGATCCCCGTCCCCTCGCCCGAGACAACCGCGCCGAGCGTCCGGCCTCGCAGGCGTCCCGCAGCTGCAGCGCGCGGTGCAGCAAGCTCTCCGCCATCGCGGAGCGCCGCGCGAGGCTGGCCCGCGGCGCCCTCGGCTGGCCGCGGGCCCTCTGGCTGTCCTCCGGCGGCGGCGGCGGCGCGGCGGCGGCGGCGGCGGCGGCGGCGGCGGCGGCGTCGTCGTCGTCGTCGTCGTCGTCGTCGTCGTCGTCGTCGTCGTCGTCGTCGTCGTCGTCGTCGGGCCCTCCAGCGGCCCTTCGGCAGGCGGGGGGATGAGGAGGAAGGAGGGACGGGGAGCAGGGGAAGGACAAGGACTTTGAGATCTGGGCGTTGAACTGTGTCACGCAGGGCGTGTTCGCCCGGCTTCGGGCCCAGTGGCCATCACAGGTCGACCCAGCTGGAAGAATGCCGCATGAAGACAGGGTTTGGCGGCCGTGGTTTTGCCGATCTTGCGATGTTCTCTTTTTTCTCTCCGTGACGCCAGGTCTCATGACGCCGATCTTGCGATTTTCTAGTGACGCCAGATCTCAGGGGAGGAGGCGGAGGATGAAAGGGGAGGGAGGGAATCTGAGAGTCCGGTTGCCTGCTCGACCTGCTGCTGCTGCTGCTGCTGCTGCTGCTGCTGCTGCTGCTGCTGCTGCTGCTGCTGCTGCTGCTACTGCTCATCTTGATCCAAGGAACCCGCCCGGACCGCCAAAAGTTGATGTTTACGCTGCCTTTTGATATTCGACTCCTGCTCCTTCCCCCTCCTCCTCCTCCTCCTCCTCCTCCTCCTCCTCCTCCTCCTCCTCCTCCTCCTCCTCCTCCTCCTCCTCCTCTCCCCTCCTCCTACTCCTCCTCCTCCTCCTGCTTGTGCTCATCCTGCTTGCCCCTTCCCCTTCCCCTTGACAATTGCACACTATGAATACTACTCTCATCTCTCCCCTGGTGGCGTCCAGGGAATGTCTGGCCCCCCTCCGCGAACTGGTTGACCCACAGGAGTCCCGGGAATTGGATTTTCGCTGTTTTTTTCAAAATGCTGCTCTCGCTGAAGCACTGGCCTCATGTGTGGGCTACAGCTCGTTCCGAATCGTGCTCCCGCTGCAACGCTGGTCTCACTTCCGCGCTTCCGCTGGTTCCGAATCGTGCTCCCGCTGCAGCCGCCATGTCACGGAATGGTTTTCGGTCCTTCCGAATAGGCCCCAAAATCTAGAAAATGCCCCCCCGAAAAACCATCGGACGTGATTACACTTTCGGCCCACTTTGGGGCGTCGCCACGCCATGCTATGTCAAGCTACGCGTCCTCATTTCCGCGCTTCCGCACTTTTTTTGGGGGGGTCAAACATGTTGCTCTCGCTGAAGCGCTGGCCTCATGTGCGGGCTACCGCTCGTTCCGAATCGTGCTCCCGCTGAAGCGCTGGCCTCATTTCCGCGCTTCCGCTCGTTCCGAATCGTGCTCCCGCTGCAGCGCGTGCCGACGTTGGGCGGCAACGGGGGCAGGGGTTCGGGTGAGGGTCTGGCTCCGGACCTCTGCTTCGTGCGACCGTTTGCAGCAGTGTGTCCCATGGGGGGGACTCCACCCGCTCGAAACAGGTGCTCAAAAACCGCCAAGATCTACTCCATGTGGGGGGGGAAGGGGGGGGGGCCCGCCCCGATCGGCAAAACAATGAATAAAAAAGGACCACCAAGGCTTATGATGTTCCAACCTACATTGGCCTTGATCACCAGAAAGAATTTCGAGCGCCAAGAAAGTACCCGAACTGGAGGGCTTTTTCACGTGCTGGGCCCCGGGAGGCGATGCTGGTTCGACACTTCGCTGGCGTGTCGGGCAGACACTGCTTCGATACTTGTCTGGGTGCTCGAGACTACATCTGGGATGTAGTCCTTAAGTACGATGGTGACAGCAGAAACCAAGGTGCTCACCTCCGTCGCCGCGGCGGCGACAAGGGGCGCTGCGCAAGGCGCGGCGGTTGGCGACTCTGGTGGCGACGATGCGGGAAGCGGCCGCGGTGCAGAAGAGCTGCACATGCTCGCCGAGGCCCTCGATTCGACGTCGTCAAGGAGGCTGCTGGCGCTGGTGAGGAACGGAGCATGACGCTCCAAGCGGCTAAGAATGTGCTGCGGGATGGAGGCGCGACTCAGGGATCTTCTGACCTGTGTCAATCCAGACCCGGGTCAGTCAAGCCTTGCAGGATCCTGCAAGATCCTGCACCCAAACCCGGGTCCATGCGAAGGACCCTGCAAGATCCTGCAGGATCCCGCGCCCAAGCCCAGATCAGTGCGACCCTGGCCCTGCAGGATCCTGCCAAGCTCCGGCACTCTGGCTGACCCCCATTTGCATTGACCGCCGTCTCTTTGGCGTCCCGCCAAGGGAGGCTCCGCAAGCTGCGGAACGGGCGCGGGCACCCAGATTGAAACTCGCTCATGAGGTACGCTCCCACCCCAACGGCAAAGGCGACGGCAAGCAGTAGGTCGGGCGTGCCCTCCTACAGGCGGATTTCGAACGAATAACGAAAAATAGTCAAAACACATACTCAAACATAGCCACAAATGCTAACAAAATCGTCCCCATACTTTTTTTGTACTATTATTGAATATTCCTCCTGTAGAGGGACAGGCCCGACTTCAACCCAGATGTGAAACTCGCTCGTGAGGCGCGCTCCCACCTCAGCGGCAGAGGCGGCGGCGAGCCGCAGAAGCCCTCTCCACGGCGGAGGGCCCAGGCCTCGAGGACGAAGCCGCCCAGGACAAGCTTTAGGTCGGGCACGTCCCCCTACAGGTGGACGTTGGACGGAAAAAAAATACGCAACAAATGCCCAACACATGCCGAAAAATGCCCCAAACGTCCCCAGACTATTTAAAAAACAACTATTTTTGAATGTTCCTCCTGTAGAGGAACAGGCCCGACCTAAGACAAGCTGAACGAGGTGCAGGCGCGGAGCTGGTGCCGCTGCCAAAGGAGAAGATGCTGGGCGACACTGCCACCGTGGAGGCCGACAAGTTCCAGCAACTGGAGGTGCACGGTTTCCCCCAGGGCCGTAGGCGACCCGAGGAGGAGGAGGAGGAGGAGGAGGAGGAGGAGGAGGAGGAGGAGGAGGAGGAGGAGGAGGAGGAGGAGGAGCAGGGGGAGGAGGAGGAGGACGGGTCGCCTAAGCCCTTCGGAGAAACCCCCCACCTGGAGGAGGAGTCCATCCACACCCTGGTGGCCATCGTGCAGACGCTGCGGTCCGAGACCACCGAGCTCAAGGGCGCGCGCCGCTGGGCATGGCGTCCGACAGTGCCGGCGGAGGCGGGGCACGCCCACATCGCGCCGGCCGCTCGGGAGGGGGGCTGCGGCAGCGGAGGCCGAGGCGAAGCGCAGCTGGCCGACGCGATGGCCACCGGGAGGACGCTGCGGTCGAAGAGCGACACCGCCGATCGGGAGGCCCAGGCCGGAGCCGACTGCGTGGACTTCACGGCCGGAGCGCGCGCCGGAGCGGAGGCACGAGGCCAGGTTCCCAGCAGCTCCTCGAGGCAGCACAGGCGGGGCACCAGGCGCCTGCCACCGTGCGTGTGCGGGGAGAAGGAGTGCAAGCCCGAGCAGCTGGAGCAAGGACTCGGCCGTGGCGCTCTTCGGCCAGGTCGAGGTTCGGTGCTCGGCTGGTTCAGGCGGTGGGGGCCCGCTGGCCCCCTGGCGACTACGTCTTCGTCGTGTGGTCGTTCTACCTCGGACGGTGGGGGAACGTAGCCCCCGTCGGCGTGCTCGGCGTGGACCGCTGAGCAGGCGGCTTGCGGTCGCGGAGGCTCATGCTCCTCCTGCGTGCAGGCCGAGTGGCGGGGAGGATGGCACGCAGCGCTCCTCCTCCTCCTCCTCCTCCTCCTCCTCCTCCTCCTCCTCCTCCTCCCGCTCGCATACGCGGGCCAGAGGGAGGAGATCCAAGAGGGGGGAACGGGGGAAGAGGAGCACGACGCGCGGGAGCAGCACCATCCGCGGGGCTGCCTGGTTGGCAGCGCGCGCTGCCCACGGCTCCCACGAGCCTCGTACTCGAGGCCTCCCGAGTAGGGTCCAAGCAGGCGGGGTCGCAGGTTCGCGCCGCATCGCCGATTGCACAAGAACGGCGCCCATGCACCGTGTCATGTGTGGACTCCCTTCAGGCCCTGCTCCAGCGCGGTATGGTGCATGGCTGTTCGGCTCTGAGGGCCGCAAACACCAAGCACCGTACCGTTCCGGGCTCGAAGATTGACGTCGCCTCGAGAGGCGCCACCGCGGTGCGAAGCACACATGTCGTGCGCGGACCGATGCATCCCCAGATCTCCGACGACCTGATGCTCTCAAGCCCGGCCCGGCGGTCTTCCTGCACTTCGGCTCCTCCCTCGACCTGCAACTTCCGCGCCCTCTTGACCCTTCGCGCGGCAGGTGCCGCGCAGCCGCGGCCGCCGCCGAGGGCCGCCGCGGCCGCCGCCGCCGCGCCGCGGCGGCCGCCGCCGCCGCGCCGCGGCGGCACCTTGCGCGCGGCAGGCGCGGCGGGTGCAAGTCGAGGGCTCGCGGTGCCCTCGCAGGCAGAGAGAGCGCCGCGCGCGGGGCCACCGCCGCGGCAGAGCCACCGCCACCGCGGCCCGCCGCGGGCGTGTCGCCCCCTCCGCCCACCGGGCCGCGGGCGCCCTCGCGGGCTGCAGCGCGTGGCGGTCGCCGCCGCGTGTGAGGACTCCGACGCCCCCTGCTCGACACCCCTCCAGTCTGGAGTCCAGAGCCAGAGGCCCGACGGGCAAAGGGAGCTATGGCCTGGAGCCCTCACCGAGACAAGGCAGGGACTATCGAAAGCATTCCTCTACCTCCTGTTGCTCCTCCTCCTCCTCCTCCTCCTCCTCCTTCTCCTCTTGCTCCTCCTCCTCCTCCTCTTGCTCCTCCTTCTCCTCCTCCTCCTCCTCTTCCTCCTCTTCCTCCTCCTCCTCGTTCCCCGATCCCGGATCCTCGATCCCTCCTCCCCCTCTCCCTCCTCCTCCTCCTCCTCCTCCTCCTCCTCCTCCTCCTCCTCCTCCTCCTCGACGACGGCGGCGGCGCGTTTTCCTCGTGGCGAGCGCCCCGCGGTCGCGGAGCCCT